TGTGTTTCTTTTATCATTTTAAACCCTCGCCTACATCCACATGTCAGGTTTTCTTAGAAATACCTGCATCTGCTAAGAAAAAACTGCTGAAGCTGTCAAAATATTCTCATTAATTTTTTAAATTAAGAAAACAGGAAGTGAGGTGTAGAGGGGGCGGTGACTTGCACCTACATTATCATTCACGTTTTTCTCAAATACTTTAACCACAGAGTAGTGATTAGAGCCGTCACAGAGTTGGTTTACCTCCACGATCATCTTGACGGTGGGCAGCGTGGTGGCGATGTTTTGCGGGTGAGGCGGCCGCACCGTGATTGGCACACAGCCGGCGTAAAGGCAGCCATAAAACGCCACGATGAGGTCGATTCCTGGGAGAGGACGTAGAGATGAGAGAAGAAATAAGAGGGGATGAATTTGGAAAACTTAAATAAGTTACAGGTATTAAGGTGCCGTATACTGAGCGATGGACCCTCGGGGCCGTTAATTGAATGCAGCTTTAAGAAAATCTGCTCGTGTCGGGTTGTTTTTCCTGCACGGCTGCGTCTGTCCTACTGTGATGGACACGACGCGCTGTGTCTCAGAGGGTAATTACACTTCCTGCGTCCTCCTTGTTTTTCCCTGCGGCGCTCTCTTCGATCTAACCGAACTCACTGAACATATTTACCGCGTCCTTCATTCCTCATTTTAAAACATCCCAAGTTTGTCCTTGTTAAACGTCAACAATTTAAAGGATCGTTAAAAAAAGTCGCATTTAACCCATTTTAGTACAAGTCGTTCTCTAGAAACTTCATCCATCCTTTCATTTCTTTTGCTTATATAGGGCAGTCACTGAAAGTATAATAAGGTTATCCACTCAAACACTTTATATGTTGTCATAATTACAATGACGGTTTTTCGCTCGATGCCCAAATAATTATTATTTTCCATCGTCCCAAAGAAGCACTGTGGAAGTGTAAGTTCGGCTTGTGGGAAATCAAACATGCATCATTTTCACATTTTTTTCAATTAATAAAAAACGAGCACTGCTACATTAGTGAATGAGTAATAATGTATAGGCACAAGGGGCAATTTTATACATAAGTCTGTTTATTTTAATACTTTCTGAACATTTGTCAGACTGTTTAAAAACTTCTACTTATTTTTTTTCAATGCACAACTTTTAGCATCAGACAATTTTACAGAATGAATGCTGGTTACAGCCTGTGTGGTATTATGTGTGTCCTGTAGTTGCATTTAAAATCATTTTCATTTATTCATCTGCACTCTGTGTTTTTTGAACTTCAGTTAAACAGAAGGGAAGAAAAAATGCATTCAAATGAAAGATGGTTTGATTTTTAAATTAATAGATGCTCATTTAAAATCATTAAAAACAGATTCCAAATGACAATTTCTGTTATAAAGTAAATATTAATAAACATTAACATAAGCACTGGTCTAAATTATTCTTTTTGGCATTTTTGTCTTTTATTAATTCTAATTTTTAATTGTTTTTAATAATAATAAAAAGGTCCAATCTGCTGTTTTGGACCAATCAGCAATCACAGCAATAAAAAGACAACTGTAGGTCAAAGATTCAAAAACTAAAATGATTAATGTGCAACCTTCAGTTCTCTAAAACCGTTTCCTAAGTCTGTCTGCATCGATTTGTTCATTTACCCAAAATATTCGTCATAGA